ATGACTGAGGGGAAGGTGGAGATGCTGGGAGCCTCCTGCATGGAAACGCAGGCCGGAGGCTCAGCTGCTGTGTTATTGGGATTTCCTCTCCCAGTCTCTGGGAAACGCCCCATGGGCAGTAGGCTGCAGGCGAATGAGGCAAGATTAACCCCACAGCCATGGCATCAAACCACTTTTTGCCATTGTATTCTTTCATTCGCTGTATCCATTGTCCTCTTTTGTTATTAAGAAACATCAATCAAATTCCATCCTCCAAACATTCAACAGTATTTAGTTGAAGAACTGCCCCAGACCATCTTCAGCTAAGAATAAAATATGGTCATTCTGGTATTATCCACACAAGTAGCACAGTCAGTTCACTTTGGATGATTACCGTGAGATTTATTTTGTCACAGGTTGAATCCTATTGACTTTGGTGATCCTGACCTTTGTTGTAGCACCTCCATAAAGTTGAGTTTTTTTCTCTCTCTCTCTCGGCACCTATTAGATAGATTGTTATGAAATTTGATGGAGATATTCAGAAGATGAATCCTGACTGATCATCCGCTGCCTTTTCCTTTGGCATCATGTTGAGGTTGACCTTTGTAGCCTTGAGTCATATGGGCTACCAGTAAATCAGCATCAGCCTCAGCTGTACTTTGTGTTTAACGACAATTACAAAATGTTAGCATGCTAATATGTAGGTTAACTAAGACAGTGAACATGGTAGATATTACACTTGCTAAACATCAACAGGTTAACATTGTGATTGTGTTTCCATGCTAGCATTAGCCTTTAGCTAAAAAAATGTTGTGCCTCATTATGGCAGTAGCCAGAGTGTAGTAAAATCTACAGAAAACACTGAGTCTATATTAACTAAGACCCATTTGTGCAGTGTCAACTGAGTGACTTATAAAATTTCAAATGTTTGTTTTCAAATGTCTGTCGAGGAATTAAATAAAATGACACATGGGCTGAAAAATGAATAGTATATTGTCATGCAGCATTTTATTAAGTTTTGATAATATCTTGTTTTCATGATTAAAAATAAATACCTGTGTAAGAATATTTAGTCTGAAACTAAACTGTAGCTCCCAGACAGAATGTACTAGCAAAAGGCTATACTGTAGGAATTAATGTTCCACAATATAAATCTAATAATAAGAAATAAAACTGGCTGGATAAGTTTCCATCCATCCATTATCTATACCGCTTATCCTGAACAGGGTCGCAGGGGGCTGGAGCCAGTCCCAGCTGACATTGGGCGAGAGGCGGGGTACACCCTGGACAGGTCGCCAGTCTTTTACAGGGCTGACCACCAGACGATCACACACATTCGCACTCACTCCTGCAGGCAATTTAGAGTCACCTAAGCTGAATGCCTTTGGACTGCGGGAGGAAGCCAGAGTACCCGGGGAGAACCCACGCAGGCACAGGGAGAGGCCGAATATGTTTGAACACAATAAAGCTTAGTTTAGACATTGTTCAGATTAGATGGATGCTCATCCTGCAGCCAGGTCCTCATGGAAATCCTTTTCAGAAGAGTTTGGTCAGTTACAGCTGCATATCAGCAGCTATGCTTCTGGATTGAGAAGTTCAGCAGTCACATATAGGTGTAACAACTGGACATTTACATATGTTTGGACATTTTGATATAAGTTATAACTGTATATGAGACAACATGATCTCAGGCCTGGAAACTTTTTAGGTTTGAAAAATTCTTATGACTGACAGAAAACCCTTTATGTAGTGTCCCTGTAACCATTTTTGAGGCGATAATGTACTTCTACATACTGTATGTCTTGGACTGACAGAAAAACCCGTGTAGGTGCCTGCGTTCAAAGACAACAATCAACTGAAAATGTAGACAACTACTAGTTACTAGTACTAGCAACATACCATCTGTTAATCCTAACATTTCAATATTATCACTCCAGATTTTTTTGTGATTCAAAAAATAAATTATGTAGCATTATATTATAAATGTATCTCTTGTCATTATTATAAAATGTTCTCCCCATGCTCTGCGACATGTGAACAACTCATGGAAGACTTCAGATTTTCTGACTAACATCTGTTTCATCTAAAAGCTCTGTCTGCTGCTTTGGCTGAACATCCTTCTGCTCTTCATCAGCGGAAGTAAAGACAGTGGCAGATGAAGCAATATGAATGTTTTCCTCTGTTATGATACACTTGGTTTCAAATGTTTCATCTGATTCATCCTGTAAGTGGCAAGGGTGTGAAGGATGGGGTGCATCCACATCTGTCACTGAGGGAGGGGAATCACTCACATAGTCTTCTTCTTTCATCAGAGCAGTTAAATCCACTGTGATGTGTGTGCGGCTACTGTCGTGACGCTCGTCACCCTTTGGTGTTTCTGTCTGGCGGCTGGCTGGCTTTTCATCAGTTGACTGGTGTGAGGAGTGTTGTTGGGACGTCTCCACCCTAGATAGTGATAGCGCCTCTTCCTGAAAATGTGACAAAGCTGGTGTTTTACTGTGTTGATTTGGAACTTCTGCAGAGCTCTGCTGCTCGGTAGGTATATCTTTGGACTCCGTGTCACCTGTAAAAATAGACAAACCAAAAAAACATTGAGAAATACAGATTCACTATACATGGCAGAGGTATAGTTACGCTGAATACTCACACTCCTGTTGCAGAGAATCTGGTGACTTAGCCTGCTGAGCATTCAGGAGGATGGTGTCTTTTCCTATTATAACAAAACATTATACAAAATAAGCTCTCACAAAAGTGATAACAATTTAGTCTTTTGTATACCACTACCACTAACTGTCTGTATAGAGATGGATCAATTTAGTGTGGGCAAATACAAGAAGTGATGGAGGAAGATGAAGTTCAGAGTTTAACAAGTAGAAGTCATAGTTATTGGAGGATCATACTTCCATATATTCCCAGAGACACATTATAAGTCAGGCCTCCAGGTAGCAAGAAGCAAAAAGACAGAAAAAAAGGAAAAGAGAAGCAAATTATTGTATGTAGTATGTAGAGTTATGGTTTCAATTAAATGCAAATGTTTCACTATATTAAGATACTTATTTTCACCTGGCAGGCTCCATAATCCTGACATCTCTAATGTTTTTAGTTTTTTCTCCAGCTCTGCTACTCGATTTCCAAGAATCCTAATGACAAATGACAGGAAGACATAAAACCCATCAAATTCATGAGTTGTGTCTACTAACTCAGGGATTTATCTGACCTAGATAAATACACTAAGCTTCAGTACTTGTTGATCTGGCGTTGGTGCTGAACGACCATGTTCTTCTCGTGGATGGTTTCCAGCAGAGCTGTGGCGAGAGACTTAAGGTCTGAGATGGACTGAGGAGTCACTGGCAAACTGCAGCTGTTTTCTTCAGAGAGTAACAGTTCCTTCACTGTACACATCATCAGTCACAGTTTAGGTACAGACTAAGTGCTACTTTCACTTTAAAGGCTTGCACACAGATTCCTGTTCTTCAGTACATGTGTAAATGTCTCAAGGCATTTTCTGATATCCTGCATACCAGAATATCAAGAGTTTTAAAAATATGATGCTTCTGACCTTGTTTGGCAGAGAGCACTCCAGTAAGCGCGCTGCTGTTGGGTTTACCACAGCCTTTAGAGGTTTTCCTGCACTCCAGGGCACTCTGAAATTAGTGACAACCATTACTGATTACATCAGCTTTCTGAGAAAAAAGCAAAAAAAATGTTTAGTAAATCCACAAATTTTAACATTTGTAAAAAAAAAATTTTTATTGCTTATTTTGTCTGCATCCAGGGCACTCTGAAATTAGTGACAACCATTACTGATTACATCAGCTTTCTGAGAAAAAAGCAAAAAAAATGTTTAGTAAATCCACAAATTTTAACATTTGTAAAAAAAAAAATTTTATTGCTTAAGTTGTCTGCATGGAATTGAGAAATTATTAAAATATATTTTAAATATTATACAACTGTAGGAGATAAATATTGAACAAATAAGAATAAAAAAGTAGCTACCTTGTACTTGACCAGGTTTGTTTTCAGCAAGTTGACCTCCTCCTGAAGTTGACTGAGCCGTTCATGCAAATACCTGGAAGAAAGAGTCTGATCAAAAATCAATCAGCCTCATCAGGTCTATCATCAATCTGTTTACATGGGAAAGACGCCACCAAGTTATGGCTCAAACATATATAAATACGGGTTATATACATTACTGTATATAATGTAACTATACACCAATAAGCCATAACATTATGACAGAGGAGTCAAAGGCAGCTGGTTGGCACTCGTGTCATTCTACAGCTCACTGTGCATCTTGGTAGGTACTAGGAACACCTGCAGTGTGGGAGGTACTCTGACCCCATCGCCCAGCCATCACAGTTTGGCCCTTGCATCCTCACGCCTGCCCATTTTTCCTGCTTCCAACACATCAACTTTGAGGACTGAATGTTCACTTGCTGCCTAATACACACCCTGCACATTGACAGGTGCCACTGTAATGAGATAATCAATGTTACTCACTTCACCTGTCACAGTCATAATGTTATGACTGACCGGTTTAAGCATTCTTTTAACTAAGCAGTGATACGTATGTTAGGACAGCACCGTTACAACACTTTAGCTATGGACATCTCTAACACTGAGGCACACACACAT